AGCATATATTCCGGTACCGAAGATAAGTCTTATTGTCTCGTACTCACTACCATAAAGATCTTCAGTAAATCGTCTCACTCATGTGGGTAGTGAGTAAAGTACTTCGTCCCTCTGTAGGTGCAGACGTCTTGTGGCTGTCCTGTGGAGGCCGCAGTGACAAGCAAATCCGGACACGGATGCTGCCAATTCATGGATACGTAGTTATATGTGACTATGTTACCAGATCGCCAAAGTGTGTTTACTTTCCATGTCCACAATCTTCAGTGTGCGCATTCTTTCATATGCGCAATCTTCCTTGTGCGCCTTTTGCTGTGCACAACTTTCGGGTGCGCTTACTTCTGGTCACCCTTTTGGTACACTCAGGTTACCCTTAGTATGTGAAAAAATCTAACACAAGATAACAGTGTGGTGGTGAATCTTTGTCTTGGTTCTACATCTGTAAACAATGCTTACACTCTTCGCCTTCTGTGCGATATTGAGTCAATGGCTCAAGGTAGTTGCTGTGTTGGTATCACCCCGAGCAAAAGTACTAAAGGTAATCTACTCGACTGGATACTAGTGAACAGCGACATGTGTGCAGTTCGATTTCGAACCTCTATTTGGTCTGCTGGGCATCATCTGAAGACAATGTGCCCTTTCATCGCTTCCGTCTATTCCCCTACTGACTGCAGCTCAGAGGGTATCGAAGACGAATTCTTTCGTCGCTCTCATGTCTCCGGATGGCAAGAATACCGCTTGTCATGGTTGTTGTTAGTGACACATATGCCCAAGTAAGTAGGCTTTCGGACTCTGACCACCACCCGAGAGTCCGCTTCGAGGTCGATGCACACCGAACAGACAATGACGATAGATTCTTACAATTATGTGCTGACCACAACTTTAAATTATCAGCATTGCTTTCCAGTAAAAACGTTCACATCGCGTCATTTGGCACTCACCGAATTACTTAATGAACTGAACTCAGATTGACTATGTTGCCATCATCTACAAATGGCACACATCAGTCCATGACTGTCAGTCAATTTGGACCACATGTCTGGATCCCGACCATGCTCTAGTGCGCACACGCCGCTTCAAAGAAGCGCCTAACTTCTAACCTTTTTACTTGTAACTTGAACTCGCAGTCCGCAATTCAGCAGTATCGTGACGAACCGGCCCACTAAGTATAAGCGATGTATAAGATTGGTGAACCGGACGCCGACTGGAATCATCCCAAGTGTGCCACGAAGAATGCCTTTGACGCTTGCTGTACGCTCAATTTGCGAGATCCGAACTGTAAAATAGATTTCTGAGGCCTCGATCAGTTTGTTCGAAGTGAGGAAACGGGTTCCAATGGACGCCGAGTTTGAGTGTGACCGTCAGTGCTTCAAATTGGCCGTTGCTTTTCTCATCTAGAAATCATTTTTACTCTAAGCACTGCAAATTTATCCAATTCATAAAACACCCTTGTTATTTTGTTTATCCAAACTGGTTCTTGACCTCCATGGTGTCCTATTTCGGCAACCTTTTGCAATCTCTCCGGGATAATACTGCTCTCCATCCGCGTATCGTTCAATATGCCCACAATGTCAGAAATACTTTTAAACAAGTATGAGGAAACATTCTAGTAAATTGAGAAACCCCGTTCTGGCTGGCAACTCAGCCTTGGACGTCCTGCAATTGACAAGACACAAATTCCACTGTCTTATCCAGCAATATTCGATCACTACTCCTTGGAGGAAGGGTGGATTTTACCGCTTTTATACGGCAGATTGAATATTCAAATGCAGCCATTTTGATGCTTCAAGAAACCTGATTACTGCTGATGTAGAAGACAATGTTATTCAACTTGCTTGTTATCTTCCCATCATACCCGACCGCCTTGAAATGCCTCAAAATCGTGGAAGGGGTGTCATCACCTACTTCCAACAACGCTGTTGTAAATCGCCATCTATATTTGTTACCTGCTCAGCGGTCGCAATCAATTGCCATCTGATTGAATGCAAGCCAAAGTTTTTGAGTTCTTTTATTTCGGTTATCATTGGATATATATACAGATTCCTCGACACACAAGCGTCTGAGTTGAAACTTTTTTACCGATGGTCTGTCCTCGGTGTTACTACCGAAACTTGACAGCTCAGTCCGTGTTATCGCCGGGGACCTCAATAAAAGAAAGGAAACAGAAAAAAGCAGCAGTACGCCGGTACACAGTACCGATACTTCGCTGCCGCGCAAACACCACCGGTCGCACGTGTGCTAAGAATACTGCGATGGTCGCCCTGCCTCTACGCAGGCTCGAACCCGCGCCGTCAGATTATAGGACAAGCTCGTTAACTATACTACGGTCTGGCAATAAAAGTGACACCCCATTCATCCCGGCACTTGGTTTAACTAACATAGTGGCCTTTCCGACCAGATTGGAAGCGCAACTAGATCTCGTCTCACAAATCATGCCTGGCTGTTTTCTGCGTAAAACGTACCCCACTCGGTAACTCCGATCAATTTATCATTAATGTGCTCCCCCTAGTTTATGGTAAGACTCACTCCGGTTTGTTGGCTAATAAACGCTTCAAAACAATGAGTCATGGTTGAGACGACTAGAATGTTCAGCATCCAATATTGCGAGACTCCAGGAAACATTGACTTCTACTGATTTTACTCTTTCCAACAACTAGGATCTGTCTGTTCATTTCGGACATCTTACCTGCTGTCTTAACTTTCGCTTCGAAACCATCTACTTACGGGTAGATGAATTCTTCTCATCATCACTCACTTAGAAGGAAAAATGAACAGGTAGGTACATGTAAAATGACTGTCTATGTCGAACAACTCTCTTTAGCGATAAAATCTGAGAATTCACGGTCGAATAATTTGTACGTTGAAGCCGTGTTATAAAACCATAACTGTTGAGACCTGTGAAGACTATTAAAACAGCTGTGCGGTGAAAGTGGCTTGGCTCTCTGGATGCAGAAATGCCCAATTATGTGCTCTCTTCTTCCTCCTCACAGGAAACATCCTCCTCCCCATTCATTCTTTTTGCCTTCGTTCTCTGGCTCTGGCCCAAAAATTACATTCCAATACGAAGTGAATTTTGAACTCAGGAATCTGAATTCATGAAAAGCTAGGGGGCCTGATGCTCTTTCACCAATTATCCTAAAAATAGTATGACAATACTCTCACCATGCCTTCGACATATCTATTTTATCAAGTGTCTACATGGTGGATTTATTCCCGACTTTTGGAGGCTTGCCAGGGTAACTCCCGCGCCAAAGAAAGGATCCATGAAATTTCGTCCGATCTCCTGTACGTCCATCATACTGAAATTCTTCGAGCGACTACTTGTGCCTTGGCTCTCAACAAGAGCTCCGGTTGTGGACGCATCTCAATTTGCGTACAGACCCCGATGTTCCAGCTTAGATGCACTAGTTCACTCAATAGCATCTTTATTAGATGCGAAATACATGACTGTTCGGCTCCTGTCCCTTGCTTACACCAACGCTTTTGGAACTGTCAACTGGTCAATCCTGCTTAATCAGCTATCTGCAAATGTTGTGCAACTACGTAAATCGCTCTCATTTCACCCAACTAAACGGTAAAAAAATTCCCCCGCTCTTCGTGATGACTGAGGAGTCTTACAAGGAGCAACCCTTTACTCTCTTTTATTCTCTCTCTACATCGAAATGCTTTCAATCCCCCTCCCCCCAAATTTATTGGATATAGATGCGCTGACGACGTAGTTCTAGGTAGCATTGCTCCAACCGCTAAATCATCATCGGCTCTCCAAAGCGGGTTGGATCGAGTTCAGCATTGGTCATTTGTCCCGATCCCTTATTCTCAACGTTGCTAAATGCTGCGATTTAACTTTCTCTTTTCACCGCAATGGCAAGCCTCTGACTTTGGCAATCACTTCCCGCCCCATGGTGATAAGAGACCACAACATACCCTGTTCATCCACCTTACCGTATTTTTACCTCATAATCTGTCTTGGTCAACACACGTTAACGAAACGTTCCGCAGGATGCGAAAATCATCATGGTTTGCTCTGAGACTTGAAATGCTTTCAATGCCCTACTCTTTAATTCACAAATTCGTGACTGCCTGTATTCTTCTTCATTGGCTAAATTGCTCATTTTTTCTGGTCTTCTGCTAAAAGACTACATTGATTGTGCGTCCCATTAAGCTCGACTATCTATGAAGACGGCGGGTTATCAGCCTGTTAGTGAAAGGTAGGGTGTATAACGCTGCGGTAAGGTCGGTGTTACTGTATGGATCAGATGCCTGACCAGTTCGCGGCGAAGACACTAAACGCTTGGCCGTGTTTGATCACCGGTGCTTGCGAAGTAGTGTCCACATCTGGTTGGAACACTGAGTGAACAATACTGAGGTCTGCCAATTGGTTTTTGGCAAGAGGCCTTCTGGTGCCTCACTTCAGTGTTTGCTGACCCTTAAACGCCTACGTTGGCTAGGCCATGTTCTCTGTATGACTGTTGACCGGCTTCCTTAACTTGCATTATACGCCTTGGCCGCGCCAATTTAGGCAAAGCCGCGATGTTTCCAATCGATGACGTTAATGAAGGCATAAGGAAATTGACTGAAAGGCTCGTTTAGGCTTGCGCGGGTCCTCGGGATTTTCCACATCATTGCTTGGAGACTATCGGACATCACGTAGTAAGTAGCATTCTTGCATCTTGTTGTCATTTTTCATTCCATACTGATTTATTAGTGCGCTTCTTTTTTATTCCGTTTTCCGTGACATTGACGGCGTGAGTAGTGGCGACTGCACTTTGGTGCCCGAATCAGCTCGACTCCCGATTCGGTCACCTCCACTCGAAAGTTGTAAATAGGCTCGATACCTTTCTTTTTAAATGTTGGGAGCGGACTACACCTAACTCTTAGTCGCTCCCGTGACCTTTCCGGTAAATTCGCCCATCCTACTCCATGAATCCACATGCAATTGATATCATTCTATATCATTTGTGATCGGATAACTGAAAAATGCCGCTGTTTGTTCCTTTTCTTAGTTGATGCAGTTCGTTCCACGGAGTTGGCCACTCGTGTGCTATTCCCTAAAACGCGACCTGATCCTCCTCACGCCGAACACGACGTACCTAGTTCCTCACTTGACGCACTGTCCACTGACCTCAATCCGACAGAGCGTGACTATTTGTTGAATTATCTGGATCCATCTGCCGGGCTGTTGCCCGTTATCCATACTGATCTCCCTCCTTCTACATCATCCGATCTTGGATCGTGGTTGCGAAACATCCTTCTGTCGATTAACAAGGACGCGAACACGTCAGCTACTCTGCGGTTGTGCATACAAAAGGGGGTTTTTCTGAATGATCTAACTTTGTTAAAACCTGACAGTACTATCTCAAGTTCGATCATCCCGGACGAACTCGGCATTTTCCAAGACCCGATCTTGTGCGACGCCATCACCAAAGCCCTCAGTCGGCGCTCTGATGCAAGCGGTGTAAACGTCCTCCGCGTGGGTGAGCGACCTAATTCTCTCTTTGGTGCGGTGCTTGCTAGCATTACAGCATTTTTCCTGAGGCCGAGATTCTCCGGTTCCTTTAGTCTTAGCTTTCTTGATTTTTCGCGATTTAAATCATGCGAAAACATTCCATTCTCCAAATTATATACCCTTCCTTTTTATGGCTCTGATGCAAGCCACCATTTGGTGAATGAGAACCACCCACTCTGCACACATTCACGTGTTCCTTCAAAACTATGCTTGTCCAGTGTTGATGCGCCAACTGTGTCACGGAGACTCGCATGCTCCCTTACATTGTTTTCGCACCGCAACGAGGTAGCGTCCAATGTGCACTCTTATCTAGCCAAATTCACTTTACGATATGAATCATTTGTGCTGTGGTTTCGAATGTGCACTATCCTGTGTTCTCCTTCGGCTGAGTCCGCACAGATGTTCTCACCGAACGTCAGTTTTTCTGTCTTTGGTTCTCGGCGTCCTCGTGGAACTTTCGCGCGGGGCGATGGTCAATTAGAATTCCGTTCAGCTACTGTGTGCATGTGAATAACGAATCGGTCGCTGGTCCGTTCGAATAGGGGCGATATAACACTATGTATGCGTTTAATTGTTCCATTGTCTGGTTAGTACAACGTCTTTGCTGGCGGTCAGAATCCACGAACCTGGGCTGCATTTATCCTTTTGTCCAGCCTCATTTCATCTGACATTTTTGAGTGAAATGTTTGACTCCTAAATTACTTGGATTCTGAAGCAAAACTCAAAAATACTGGAGTTTCTCTTGGTTTACAGCGAATTTTTCCAATATTAGTACGTATCCCTTATGCCTTGGATAAAACGCTTGATTTTAGTTTCAACCACATCTAGCCCAGAAAATTCCCCAGGCATAAAGCGATCATATAATCACTGTTTCTGATAGTCCTACTCTCTCTATTTTTTCCAGACTTCGCTCATACTTTCATCCGGTTTCTCTGAACTCTTATTTCTTCTAACACATGTATTGATAGTGCCATCCGCCAAAACGGAACACTTGGTAACTTTCTTCGCTGTTGTTGTTGACAGAGACGCTAACGTTACAGTTTCTCTTTTCTCAGGCCGACACGACCGCTGGTTCCTGGTAACTCGCCAACAACGGACTACTTCGCGCTACCCCGTAGCAAAAGCACGTGAGATCTAATTGGTGCGTCCGCCGGGGCACACACACACTGTAAAAATGTTACCGCTTCTACTTCTCCCCCATAGCACAACGCAATAACGATCCATCTTATCCGCTGTTTTTTTCTCTCCAATGGGTACTAATTTGGACATGTCACTCCATGGTGTCATCGGCATTGAACTTCTACAGCCTTGAATCCGGAATAATTCGAGTTCTCCCTTACTTGCCGACTAACTAGGAGATCCATCATTGAAACTGACGTTTTAAATCCTGCGTTTTCCCTAGTGTCTATCTAGTATCAAAAGAGTATGAATAGACATTTACCACAATGTAGCAAAGGTTCATCAAGCAACCTACACCTCACTGGAGAATAGAGTTCTAGACATCGAATAGGAAGTCGATTCAGACAGGACCAATCAATGATAAGGGAGTGCTGCTTTCTGCCAACACCTACTTCTGCGTCGGGCTTCGACTTTGTTCAGGCTCCTCAGGTAGCGATAGCCGCGAGCTGGGAGTGGCATCCTACATGTAGTGTTAGTGTTTGACGCCAAGCGTTGCTGACCGAACCCGGTGTTCTGTTAATCAAAGCGTCAGCAATAATCAGCCACTAGGTACCCAGCTCCTATCCCGGCTCCAGTTATCCATAGCTGAAGAGTCTAAACAAGGGCGAAACCGGTTGTGTGGTACGTGTTGAAGTCATTGACACTAAGACAGTATCTCCTTCGAATACAGTTTCAGCGATCAGGCTGATCTAGGTTGGCGTTAAAGTAAATCTTGGTCTCAAATGTAATTGCATTTTGTGGCCCGAATACGGTAGGAATTGCAAAACAGTAATTCTAGTGATTACAGTCTGCCAGCTTTCAGGTGGGATTATCAATCAATACACGTTCACCAAGGGTGAGAAACACACCTCATTTACTGTGCCGCAACACAAAAAAAGTAAGACATAAAGCAGTGTAGACTTAAAAGCCATAATAAAGTAAAATAATGCTAATATCACATTTTTGATGGTTCTTAGAGGGGAAGCCAAAAGGAATGTGAGACAGAGACTCACAACACAAGCACCATTGAGGTCGACCCTTCGCCTTGTCAGCTAGTGTATCCAACAAAACGTGTTCATCATCTTTCGGTCCCCAGCCAGGCAGTCGGGAAACACCAACCGACGCCAACTTCAAAGTGAGGGACTGCATTCCTGTTGATCAACTCATTGACTGGCCTCCTCTTCCATCCAGACCCCGGGCACGCAAACAACGCACGTCGCGTGAGTCATTGTGCTGGCATACGCAACACGTGTCCCAGCCATCTGAACATGATGTGTGATATGATGGTGCTGAGCGGTTCAATTGCTATCCATGCACAAAATACGCGACGCCGAACATATTCATTGTTCACGCGGTGCTCCCACCAGACATGAGCTAAGCTGCGAAGGTAGGGACGATCGAACGTAGCTTGCCTCTTTATATCTGTCAACTTGATGGGCCAAGTTTTACAACCGTACAGGAAGGTTGTACGGACGGTTGCATCAGGTGGAATTAAGGTCGCTCACAACCATGAAGATGATTGCGTACTTCCACTCTCATACACGAAACGTTTCTCCTGGACCCGGTCCCGTGCTGCACAATTTCTCCATACAAAGTTTGACTATCGCCAACACTTGACCGGACCCCTTCATTTGGTTGCGTACCCAACCGTAAATTGAGTGCGGATTTTCGCTCCAACTCGCACACCCTGCTCCCTAGGTTGTGTTTCGTCCCCTTCGTTTGTCAAACCTCAATTGGCTGAACTTTCATTTTACACCTGGATGCTTCCCACTCCTAAATTGTGTTCACATTCTTTCATCCCCGCTAATGCCCTTCGTATGATCTCGACTCCATCGATTCTCTGGTTTTACACCATACCGCATATGTGACTCCATTCAATATATGGCGTGAATGCCGCAGGAATTATTTTCCCTATGCATCGCAACATTTACCAGCCACTTTGCCTTACTCGTCTGTTGTGAACTAGCACTCCCGCAACTCCCCTGTAATCATTTGGAGTTCTACGTTCCGATATCGTGGTGTTCTTTGCTCCTAATAGTAACCATATATATATATATATATATATATATATATATATATATATATGCGGAGACGCGCTTTGAAGGCTTGAGCCCAGTGTTTCCATCAGAACTAAATAAACAAACTACTTGGACTGGGTACCAGGGCATTTAGCTTCACTAAAATGTACGAACCTCGACAATTTGCTGTTCCAAATCAATTCGGTACAAACAATTTGCGATTCTTTCCAAATACCTATCAGAAATGGCTTCAATATGTTACATGCCTAGACTATATTTTACCTTTCTCAAGCCTTATATCAACGACCACTGCACCCCAGTGTACTTCTGAACGTTTACGCTCGACTTTTTTTTACTTTTACACTGATGTTATTTATCAACGCATCCGTCTCGGTAGACGCTCAGTAGATGACTCATATTTTGATTTCATCGTATTCACCCCAACCATCCTACGGGACGTGTTAAACACTTGCTTTTATCCCGTGACAAATTATTGTTCATTAATGTCGTCTTCATAATGTATGCTGGATACGACATGTGCCTCAAGGGAGCTGACCAACGGAAAATCGCGGAGCAATGATGTGAAGTAGGCAGAAACACGATTGTATGTACGAATGAATGGGTTTCATGTGTGGCCGCACACAGATGATCCAACGATGTGGTGTCACTAAAAGTACGGTAGTACGGTGTCCCATGTAACATCCGTGGGCTGACTCGCTAATTTTTAAACTGTATAAGATGACGGACAACACGACGTGCAGTGTCACATGTTAATTGTATTACGGCATCTCGTGTTCCATACGCCTTACTAAGCAAAATCTGGTACAGTCGGTGGGCCGTAGTTTGGTAACCCCTCCGTAGAGCTCGAACGGCATGCAGTCTCTTACGTTGGGAGTGCACCACTCGCCCTAAGTCGGGAAGCCCTTGGTCAAATTAGTGTAAACCCGCCAACTTCCATCTGCTTACAGCCATGCTCTCAGGTGCGTGACATGTTTGGCGGCATCCGGTTCTGGATTTGTCTGTCGCTGCTGTCCCCATAGGAAGGCTATAGGACGCCTGCGCCTATAGTGAAACTTTGGGTGGTTTGCGCTGCACCACACACTCCATATGCAGTGTTAACTCAAGTAGTAAAATCGGGAGATATGGGAACCGTATCATCAACGGACCCGGCCCACAGTCCCTCAACATGGACAGCAGAAGCATTCCTGTCTATCTAATTTGGGAATCATGCGTACCGGACGTACACAACCAGTGGCTGGGACGTAGCCCATTTCACACTGGATGCATGGAGCGACTCTTTGAGCCTAGCACGGCCACAAGGACCGTGGACCCGTCTCCTCAAGCAACGATTAACTAGTGTGCACCTTGTCAACATTCACATCGAGCGCAGCCACACCGGGGATATCAATCAACAACCAACACCTGAAATGTAAGAAATCCAACACGCATGTCACGTATAGACTAACTGCAGATATGATGTAACACACATACCACATCGGCCGAAATATTGGTCTGGGTTAGTAAATGGAATGGAATCGGATGCAGAGTACTTAAGCGCTGCGCTGATGATGACCACATATTGAGCTGACTCGTCGCCTCTTGAACTTGCATCTCGCCTCTGGTAGATTATCAAGCCGGCTTGGGCACAGGCACTCGTAAGCACATGTGACGCACCACCATACTTTCTACTTCGATTAATTATCCCCCATCGGCACATGTTACTTCCCTACTCGGCGTTTCTATTCCGCATGCAGCAGTGATTCCTCATGCATCTGGACAACCACCCACTTGAAATCCCATTGGCTCCGGTCCACTGTCATCGCTTACCTAGACCCATGTCCAGGTAACGTAACTTCCTTTTCCCACGTTACGTTTCCCTGTACGTAGTTGGCTATAAAGCAGCTATTTCAGTATCCGGGTCCAATCCATGCGGCGAACATAGCCGGGCTACCTCAGGTGCCTCAGAGGAAG